CCCTGTAGTGCCTGCCATCCGGGGTGGGAGTCGCCGCATTGCCTGCCACCGGGGTTGGAGTGGCCGCATTGCCTGCTAATCTGGTTTCCCTCTCTTTCCCCTGAGGGTCCTGCATAGTACTGAGCAGTGTTTGGTAGATACTGGCCAGGGCCCAGCACAGTGCCATAAGTGACTGCAGAGGGATGTAGGAAGGAGAAATAAAGGAAACTGCATAGTTGTCCCAGCATGGACGCACGCAGGAAGGATATGGCTTTCTCCTGCCACACTGTGCTGACTCTTGCCACCTGTTGCTGATTTTGCTTCCTAGCGGTTGACTATGCCTCACAAGTCATGGTACAAATCTCCCCCAGGGATGGAAGAGGGAAGCAGCAGCCTGGCGGAAGAGCTCTCCACCTTCCAGGCAGGCAGAGCACAGCGTGTTACCACCTCGGCATCTGCCCACAGCTGCAGGCATTCACCTGCTTTTCTACCTGCCTTTGTGTAGGCCTCATGTGGGGCACTAGAAAAAGCTGATCTTTAAAAACAGCTTTTGTTGAGGCTTTGGACCGGAGGTTTGTTATGCTATGGCACTGATTTGCCCTGCTGCAAGCGCTCCTTGGGAGCTGGCATGTTGCATCTCTGTTCTGGCTGGTTGCTGGCAGTGCCCTTCCCCAGCACTGCTGGTAGTGGCTTTTGGGCTGGCCAGCTCTCAGGGATTGGCCACAAGTGCCTGTTAATTACAAATCTTATTGGAAATGGAATGAAAGAACAGCCCATTTCCTAGGGCAGGCAAGGTCAGGTGGCAAGCACAGTGAGTGACCTGCTGAAGCTGGCTTCCCACCTGCAAGATGACAGGATGCAGAATTTGCAGGGTGCCAGAAAGGGGGTGCACTTGGGTGTTTGGTGCCTCTGAGCATCCCTTCAGGGATTTTGTTCATCTGCTTGGCCCTGCTGTTTCCAGATTCAGAGCAGCACTCGTGGTCGGGATGCCCAGCAGGACAGATGGCAGCTTTCCTCTGGACAGCCACTGCAGTGAGCCCCCAGTCAAGGGCTGCATGGGGAAGGAGATGGGGAAGGCATGGTCCCCAGGGATGGGCAGCGTTTCTTCCTTTACCTGGAGGTTCCTGGGCCAACAAAGCTCACAGGCTGCCCCTGCGATAGATGGGCTGAGGGTGGAGGTGCCTGAGGGCTCCTGCCCACTCTGAAGGTGTTGCACCATGAGCTGCTGCCTGGGCTGATTCTCCTTGTCCCCTTCCAGGCATCAAAGCTGCAGTACTGGTGGATTATGACTGCAGGGGAGCTGCGTTGCATCTGCAAATCTCCTTCGTACATCAAGGGCACCTCTGAGCAGATGAGTGCTGTGCACATGAAAGGACTGCTGTCTTTGCACTGGGGGAAGCTGGTGGGGGGCCATCATGGCTCAGGGCTGTCGCTGTCAGGCACCCAGTTTCTGTCTTCCCTGCTGGGCATCTCTTATTGGAAGAAAACAATTGCAAGCTCTTCTCCTTGTCTGCAGGGCCAGAAAGCGTCCTGTGCTGTGGGTGAAAGGGGCAGGAGGTAGACATGAGACCAGTGGCTAGCTGGAAGCCCAGAGGTTGCTGGTGGTCTGCAGTGTCTTGGAAAGCAAGCCATGAAACGGTCACCAAAAAGCATTAGAGATCTGTTTGTATGCACAGGTTTTCATACAGAAAGACACACAAAAGGGGAGTAAAATATGAGCAAGGTATGAGAGTTCACAGCTTAGCTTAAAGTATTTGTGGTTTAAATGGAAATCAAGGTGATAACACTGCCTGAGATGGCCTAGATGTATGTGGCCTTTGGGTTTGGGAGGTTGGGAGAGGCTAAGCCTCAATTCTGCCTTCTCTGCCTGTACAACCCCGCAGACAGGCAGTACCCTCCTGCCCTTCATCTGGTAAGCATCTGGATCACTCCAGCTCCGCATCTCCCCCTTTCTTTCCCCTCAGAGCCGCTGTGCAGACTGAAAAGGATGGTGCAGAGGTTTGGAGGCATGCCGTGATGGTGGGAGCCATTCCATGGCAGCCACACCGCTTCTGGGGGGTGCCTGGCTGGCAGGTGTTTTCAGCTAGTTGTGCCAATGACCACCTGCTGCGGGACTGGGAAGTTAATCCAGAGTGGAGTGGGGTTCTGCTGCAGAGGGGTAAGTGGGGGTGGGGGGCAGTCAGGACAGGCTGCATCGTGGTGAGTTACACAGAATCACAGAGGGGTTGAGGTTGGCAGGGACCTCTGGAGGTCATCTTGTCCAACCCCTCTGCTCAAGCAGGGCCACCTAGAGCCATTGCCCAGGACTGCGTCCAGGTGGCTTTTGAATATCTCCAAGGATGGAGACTCCACAACCTCTCCGGGCAACCTGTTCCAGTGCTTGGTCACCCTCACAGTAAAAAAAGTGTTTCTTGATGTTCAAACAGACCCTCCTGTGTTCCAGTTTGTGCCCATTGCCTCTGGTCCTGTCACTGGACACCACTGGAAAGAGCTTGGCTTTATCTTTTTTGCATCCTCCCTTCAGGTATTTATATACATCAATAAGTTTTCCCCCTGAGCCTTCAGATCTCCAGGCTGAACAGTCCCAGCTCTCCCAGCCTTTCCTCATAGAAGAGATGCTTAAATCCCTTAATTATCTTAGTGGTCCTTTGCTGCACACTCCAAGGTGTGGTCTCACCAGTGCTGAGTAGAGGGGAAGGATCACCTCCCTCGACCTGCTGGCAATATTTTGTTGAATGCAGCCCAGGATACCGTTGGCCTTCTTTGTGGCAAGGGCACATTGCTGGCTCATGGTCAACCTGGTGTCCACCAGGACCCCCAGGTCCTTTTCTGCCAAGCTGCTTTCCAGCCAGTCAGCCCCCAGCATGTGCTGGTGCATGGTTATACCTTTCATCACTCCTTTTAAACGAAATCCCAGGGCTCAACCACCCTGACCTGCCACCTTCCCATCCCTGTCATGGCAGGGGTCAAAATACTATGCACAGCCTTGCTCTCTAGATGGCCTTGACCCACTTGGAGAACTGCTTCCCCTATTGCATGCCTGCCCCTAAGCCTTTGCTCCACAGGAGCAGGCAGAGCTGTGGGGACAGGCAAAGGGCAGAGCTGCCAGGCACGGGCTGTTTGTCAGGCTCTGGAACTCCTCAGCCTGCCAGTGGCTCTTCCTGCATCTCCTCGTCTCTCGCAGTCATTTCAGTATTTATCATGCCAGAAAAACTCATGGCTAAGATTCTCACAGCTCTGAAACTGGACTGAAAATCAAAAGTGAGGCCCCATGCAGCAAGGAGGTCAGGCCCTCAGGCAGGAGTGGGTGATATATGGATGGTACAGGAGTGGGTGGATGGTGCAGGAGCCCATGGTGGACTCTGCAGCCCCTTGTACCACCCAGCTGCTAATTGAGGTGGTGGAGGTCTCTGGTCCAAGCTGGCAGAGCTAACTGTGACATCAGGTCATGTTCCCGTCTCTGCTGCGGGGCTGGCAGCGTAGGGCATCAGCCCTGCCTCATTCAGCGCATGCAGCCGGGGCAGGTCTTCTTGGTGAGCACTGGGAGATCTTGTTGCTGTTGCCCAAAAGGGTGATCACAGGCCTGAGCCCTTGGGACTGGTCTGACCTGCCTGACTCCTGCGTTCCAGAACAGCACAGGCACGTCAAGTCCCTGGCAGAGGGCAGGCTTCTTTCTCCCCACTTGTCCAGACTTGTCCCCAGTAGCCTCCAGCCCAGCTGGAAACTCCTCTCCGTGCCCAGGCCAGGAAGGAAGTGCTGATCCTGAAGGTACGTGATGCCACAGGGTTCCCTGGAGAGCCACACCAGCATGGTTCCTCTTCCCATCCCCAGAGAGGAAGGTCCAAGCGGGGCTGTACGGGGAGCTGCCTGCATCCTGGCAGGTCCTCTGTGGCCAAAAGGCTGGACAAGGATGGGGATCCTGGGCTGATCTCCATCCTCCTGCTCTCTCTTTCCAGATGCTGCACTGCAGTGCACCCAATAGTGGAGGGCTCACCCGGACATCCTGAGCAAGGGGGGAACCAGTTCCGACCCCTTGTCCTCGCGCTGTGACCTGTGGCACTTTACGGTCCCTCTTCTGCTGCTGCATGGGCTGTTCTGACTCTAGCTCCACTTGAAGTCCAGGCAAGTAAGGCTCTATGCGACACATCCACGCAGAGACATCCCTGCCCCTGGAGCACAGCACGGACCCCAGCCTGTCCCAGCCCAGTGGAGAGGCACCCTTGGAGCCTTCCTCGCAGTGCTACACCCACCATGGCATCCTCATGAGCTACAATGAGAGAGATCAAGCGCCAGAAGGTTTACCAGGTGTCCATCTTCTCCCATCTCTCCAGCTCCTCCGAGAGCACGGAGCAGCGGGCAGGCAGCCAGCCAGCCATCAAGAGGGGTTACCCCGAGCAGCGAACTCTGAAGGGGGAGCAAGATCCCAAACGAACTCACTGGGGTGGCAGGGGGGTGGATGTCAAGTGTGATGAGGGGCCTGGGCAGGCTACCCTGGACAATGACGATGCCTTTGAGGACAGTCTGCTGGTGGAAGAACTATCTCTGTGCAGCTCTGCCCAGCACTTCTCCCACAGCGGGCTGCGGGTGGTGGAGCACCGGTGTGAGGGCAGCCCTAGTCACAGCCCCAAGGCTAGCAGAGAGGACAAGTTGCAGGATGTCTCCTCCTCCTCCTGGCACATTGCTTGCAGTACTTTGCACACGAGAGACGGTTGCCCTGTCTCACTGGGCGATCAGCCCACAGACTATGGGGATAACAGGGAGCGGGCAAGTGGCCACAACCTACTTTACCTCGATTTGCACAATATTGCACGAACTCCCCAGTTGGACTCTGGTGGGAAGAGAGAGAAGCCAGGAAGCAGCCTGGCTCACAGCAGCAGGGCTAGTGGAAAAGAGGAATGGCCAGTGGTGGCCAACAGGTGCAAGGAGACTCCAGCTCTGCAGACAGAGCTCAGCCCTGAGCCCGGCAACCTGAGCTCCCTGGAGAAGATGCCCTGTGGGAGCAGCTGGCTCAGTGGGAGGGGGTGCCCTGGCAAAAGGAAGCTGATGCCCGCTGGCGAGGTTGTGGCTGACTCCTGCTTTGAGGACAAGAGCCTGTCCCCGCCAGGGAGGAAGAAGAGGGCCCTGCCATGCCATCCAGTGCCTGAGGCCTGCTGCAGCACCGATGCCAAGGGGGCACCTTTCTGGAATCACCTGCTTCCCATGGCCAAGGTGAGCGTCGCTCGCGGGGGGATGCAGGGAATGGCCCGGGGACACCCAGAGCTCAGGGCTATCCTCATGGGCAAAACGTGGTCCTCATGGGCACATGGTCTGTCATGGCACAATGCCCTGTTCTGTCCCAGTGCCACAGCACTGGTGTGAGGCAGCCAACTCCATCATCCTTTTGTGTGGCTTCCAGAAGGGAAGGTGTTCCCCCTGAAAAGGGGACATCTTTAAAAAGAAGCTGCAGTGTGGCCCTGGCTTTAAACCCCTGCCCTACAGCTGTAGGAGACTGGCTGTGGGCAGGAGTGGGCAGCATGCCAAGGACTTTGCATGAATCACCTGGGGATGGGACTTTTCTTCCCTGGGAGGTGCAAGGGGGTGTTGGAGCATGGCTCTGTCTGGGAGTGTCTTGCTCACTGGGGCAGGCCCTGAGACCTGCTTTGCAGGGTGGGAGCTGCGTACTGCACACTCAGGCTGGGTACCAACACCCCCTTCCCCAGCAGAGACACTTTGGGAGGGTAAAGACCTGCCCTTGCAGCCAAGTCTCAGTTTTGGCAGCTCCATGTCCCCACCCCAGCCCTCACACTGCCCTGCTGGTTCCCCCCGCAGAGGCCACTGATGGCCTGTCTGACCTGCCGGGACCCTCATGGGGCTGTGGGGTAGGGCAAGGGGCGATGGCACCTCCTGGGGGTGCACAGTCCCCAATTGCTGCCCTAACACGGTTCTCGATTTCATGCCCCCTCCAGAGCTCTGCAGATTGCACTCCAGTCGGGAGGAGGCTGAAGAGCAGGCTGCGCCTCAAATCATGAGTGTCTTGGCAGCCCTGAGGGTCAGCCATGGGAGCCTGGGGTGTTCGGCCACCCTAGCACCTTGCAGTCCCATGGGAGGGTCAGGTTGGGATGAATCCTCTTCCCTTCCCTGCCCTAGGCATCTCCTCCACAAGACCCCAGGCTGTGGGGCAGAGGGAGGTTTCTTCTGCCCCTGGGGGTTAAGAAAGTGGGTTCAACCTCCACCAAAGAAAGGGATGGGGGGACCTGGAGAGGTATCCACACCCCCAGGGGCATGGACAACCCAGGGCTGCATGCTCCCTGATTTGACACTGATCTCTCCTCTCTCAAAGGCGATATCTCTGGAGCAGCCTCCAGAGGGGTACCAGGTCCTCCACAACGCCCTGGGACACCACCACCATCAGCCATGCTCTGCTGGGCAACTTTGAGGTAACGGCACCCACCTGCCAGGGAGGGAGGTGGGTCCTGCGGGTTCCAGGCTGGGCTGGTGACGGGCATGAGAGGCTGAGCCTGACGGGAACCCCAGTGTGGGGCTGGGCTGATTGTCCCCAAGGGCTTGGCGTGCAGTGGCTG